CATAAGTTGTCTAAAACGCTATAATGTGACATGGCCTTTAGCAATCCTTCCAGCCAACACTCACAGCATTTAAACAGATCTTTACAAACTTTTAGCTTTTTGCTACTTTTAGATTTGAACTAGTTTTTAGCTACATTTAGTCAACTTTTAGCTCCTTTTGTCTTTTAGCCAGTGCTTGGCTTCTTCAGTCCTCAGTATTCATACAGTATTTTAGCTGTCTCAGTGTAGGACAGGTTCAAATGTTTGGTCCTGAAAGAGAGATGGTGACGTACGTTCATGCTCCTCGTGCACAGCCAGGTTCACTTGGTCGATGCAGGCCTGGATGTCRTTCCAGGTCAGAAAGTCGTTTCCTTCCTCTCTGGCTGCAGCTTTCAGACGCATCAGTTCGTCCATGTACCTGAGCAGCACAGACACAGCTCCACTGTGACCACAGAGCTCACCACAAACACATCAGCAGGTCCTTCCTTCCAACACGCACTAACCTCTGAGCGTACTCATCCTCCACGTTGCTCAGGCCCGTCACTGAGCTGGACAGCTGTTTCCAAAGAGCCGCTCGGTCTCCAACGTCCATAGCCTGGTTCATCARCACCACGGAGGACAGCATCTCAACAGCCACAAGCAGCTCAGGGTGGGTCAGGTTGCCCTATKTGACAGAGGCCAAAGCTTTACTCGTGTGTCAAACTGAGAATAAATACACTGAGGAAAAATAATAATAAAGCACAAGTAATTTATTCCATCATCCAAAACAACCAGAAATGTTCTTCTATGCTTTTAAACTAATGTTTTTGTTTTTCCCCACGTCAAGAAATTATTAGAACAAGTTTAATTAAGCTTCCTGCAGTCCTCAGTTTGCACTGTAGCCTCAACATTTTATCATCAGAACAGAACATTTTAACTACATTTCAGCCAAAAAATGACTTCACACTGCAAACAACAGCTATGGCAGAATATTCTCCATTCCTTCCTGCTGAAAACCAAAATCTAAAAATCTGATTTAAAACTGGCTCKTTGTTACGTGTCTACACAACAAGTTTAGCAGTGTCTATCTGAATGACTTATAGAGGTTTCAAATATCTGTCAGGTAGCAGGAGTGAAAATTAACTAAAAAGCAGGTAAAATCTGAAAAAAAAAAGATGAGTCAAGACTTTTGCACAGTGTTGTACAAGAAAATGGCACCTCCAACATGTACAAAGTGTAAAAGCAGGTCATTTTTTTTAATTCTCAGTTCAATCGGTGCTGAAAATGACATGAAGACACCTCCTCCTCCTCTGCCATCTTAATTTCCATCAAGCTGTGTGTTTATAGCAGACTTTGTGAGTATTCTTCAAGTAAACAGATCAGTGCAGAAAGTAMAATTCAAACACTCATTATCCTGAGCAGTTAGAAGCTATAATAAAGCTTTTTCCTGTCCAGAAACCTAAAAAAGACTGCAGACGTTTAAACAATGGCTAAAGGTTTGCAGCCGTTCTCACAAACAGCTGAATGAGACAGTGACAGACAGAAACTGCCACATGTTGGTGTGAACCAAGGTAAGCCAGAGCAGATTAACCTGATCATCAGGATTTTATGTGTCATGTTAGATTAATAACAACTCAGTTAAATGAAAGTTTAACATTTAATCCGCCATTGCTTTTGTGTGTAGATGTATGTTGCAACTTCAGGTTGCTTAAATTTAGCATTTGATTATCAAAACTGATTAACAATGAAGACATTTGGCAACAACACATTTAACGGTTGTGTAATGAAATATACTCTTAGTACAGACTAAATGTAACTGTACGTTTTACCTAAGAATTACTCAATGATTACATAAAAACACGTTTAAGTATTTYCAGTTTAAGTTTAATTTAAAGTTTTACAGTTTGTTTCAACTGCGAGCACCAATTTATWGTATGGTTTTATTCTTTTTCTGGCTGCGGATGATTTGGGCTTTAACTTCAGTTTCTCCAYGAATGACTTTAAATAAGTTCCCTGCACTGATGAACGACTCAGAGAACTTCTTTGGCTCAATGTTGACTGAAACAAAAGCCTCACCAAATGTCAGCTTCTTAACGTCCACCATTACAGCAGTCTCCTTTGTTGGAGGGTTTGTTACCCTCAGTCACGTGACCATGTAGGCGGATCAATCCTACGTAGGCATCATGTCAATTCAGCCTCAGGGGCTGCAGCCCACATAGACCGTGGCCCAAGGAGGCCACAYCCATCACAGTCCAATTAGGCTGAATATAACGGCTGTTGATTGAAACGCTCTTGTCTTTGGATGACATATGTTTGCGTGACCACGCACTGCCCCGTTTAGAACATAGTGTTGTGTTTTAAATCATAAATGTCTAAAACATAAAATCAGAATGTATTCACAAGTCTTTTCACAGGAGGTATAACTTCCCAAAATTTAATGTATATTTGAAACAGTAGACAGTAATAATTTGGATTCACCTTCAGCATCGACACTATGGTTTATGATAATATTTAAAAAACATACTTTTAATGTGGCTCCAGCTGATATTTAGGTTTATATATTGTGAAGTTTTAATTTTACTCACMTGGCTGTCACTGCTCATGTTCATCGTTTGTGATCATTGGAACACAAAAGGTCTACTTAAAATCTGTATTGTACTTAAACAAATCAAAGTCAAATAAAAAAAAAGCTCCAGTATCCGTACATCACAGAATAAACTGCATCCGTTAATTTACTACAGGTGCACCAGAACAAGGACAAACAGATTCAAGACCAGCTTTTTCCTGAAAGCCATCACCACACTGAACTCTCACATGCACTGGCTCCTGATTTACAATCAGCGAGGAATTCACGTACTGTGGAATATATTCATATTGGGGAACACCTGTCATTTTATATTGTTAATGATCACCTGCAATACCAGCATAATCCATACACCTCAATATACAAAATGTGCAATATTTAAACAATGTGCAACAATGACGTTTTACTTTCTTCTACTTTAGTTTTACATTTACAATTGACTCTCACTGTGCTTTTTTAGTGTTGTATATATGTGGGTATATGCATATTTATACATGTATGTATACACGCAGATGTATATCGGCATATTTTAGCTCATTTTAGTCTTTTCTATTTCTTTTAATGTGTACTTGCACTGCTGTGGGAGTGGCTCTAAACTCGTTATGCACGCGTGTAATGACAATAACAGCATTCTATTCTAACTAAACAACAAATTGTTTGGCCTTTTTCTTTTTTGTGTTTTTCTGTTTAGCCATGAAGCCTTCCGTAGATGAAGCCTCCGTTTTAAAGGGTTTAGTGARACACATTTGTCGGCCACATAAGAAGCAGCCCATGGAAAGAGACAATCTTCAGCGCGGTGCAGTGACGTAACCAGCCTACAATGCACCATGCAGACTGCAATCCTCGAACACGCTAGACAACATGGTTAAAACGGTGTGGGTGTGTGATTCTGTTGTGTGTTTGCTCTTGGGCACCTCCTGGCTCTGCTGCTGCAGACATGCCAGCTCCCTCTGGTAGAGATCTGCGGCGCTCGGATAGACCTCAGGCAGCTGGGCGTCRGGGTTCATCAGCTCCTCCACAGTCTTCTCTGGCACGCCCGCTCTGATGGCATTGTTGATGCGCTCCACTGCCTTCAACACTGCACAGACATGACATTAACATGAGTTATAAGCAGCAGCACAGGCAGATACATATCATACATGTGAAGGTCTTACTCTTTCTGTAGCCTTCTGCAACCTCATTAGCCACGTCCACACCGCTCTGCAGCTCATCTTTCGTTAAAGGCTCTCCTGGAGACGTCTGAAGAGGTGGAGAGAATGTTGAGAACTAAACCCTGGAACCAGTGGTCGGGTCCAGTTTAATGTGAACTACCTGCTCTTTATTGTCCCGTTCACCCTGCAGCTGTTTGAGGTACCAGCCTTTGTTCTGAGGCTGCAGGTTCTGAACCCCGACAGCCTTCAGAGCAGAGTACAGCTTCTCCTCGTCTCCACCCATCAGAGCCTGCTCAGCTGCACCCAGGGCATTGCTCACTGTTGGAAAGAGGTCAACGTTCCATCAGTGCACCACGAAACCAGGACACGTGGACTGACCTGTGAGGAAACTTGGTCGCCAGTAGGGCTGCGTATTGGCAAGAATTTGGCGATACGATACATTTCATGACAGAGGGGTCACGATACGATATATCCCGATATATTGCGATACTGTAAGCAAGGCGATA